TTCCCCAAACAGTGTGCCACACCTGGGGTTCTTACGGCCGGCATCTTCCCTGTCAATTTCTAGGAGCTTGCGAAGAGATCTTGCCACGGAGACATCCTGTAGAGATCTTGTATAGAGGGCTCTTAGAGACACCTTGTGCAGAGATCGCCAAGAGGCATCTTCCAGAGGTCTTGCCAGGAGAGCTCGTATAGAGAGCTTGTACAGAGATCTTGCCAAGAGACCTCTTATAGAGATCTTGCACAGAGATCTTACGATGAAATCTCTTATAGAGTTCTTGTACAGAGGCTCGGTGAGGAAAGTAAAGTCTTGCTCGGAGATCGTTGATAGCTAGCTTGATCAGCGATCTTATTTTGAGATCCCTTACAAAGATTTTTCCGTGGAGATCTCCTGTAGACACCTTGTACAGTCGACCTTCGCGGAGATCTTGCACAGCAGCTTCTACAGAGAACCTGTCAAGGAGATCTTGCGCACGATCTTGTATGGAGATCTTCACAAAGGTAACTTGCAACACAATGCTTTCACTACTAGGGTCGCTCTTGTCCTGCTAGCTTGTGGCCAATTTTTTTAAAGACCCTTTCCACCTTCCCCTTTCGAATCGTAACTACGCACTGTTTGGGGTCTGCATTCTTCCGGCAGGCGGTGCCAGACAGTGCTTGTGAGACACCTGTGGCTTCGCTGGCTTCGCTGGCTTCGCTGGCCTCTGACTACAGGGTTCCTGATCGGCAGTCAGCTCGTATTCATATGCTATGCTGCTATGTTTCATGCAACCGAATGTGTTGTCATTATGGCGTAGAAGCAAACTCACAGTTCCCCCTTTGAACCGGACTAAGCGACAAACTAAGCTCAGAGTTGCACACCTGATGGCTGATGCTTGTCAATCAATTTCTCTTGATGGATTTTTGCGTTTCTTGTAGGTTCTTGTTGCGAGCTAATGTTTGCCATTGGGTTGTACCATCACTTTCTTGGGTGCAACACGTGCACGAAGATTTTCAAATTATTGCTAGTTGATTCGCATGGACATTCTCACGTTTTGCCAGTTTCACCTCCCATGTGTGATTTCCTCTTCCAGTCTTTGGTTAGATCAAGCCTGCAATGATTTGATTTCCAGTTGACTTTCACTTCGCCCTCCATGCAGGATTTCAATGAGATCCGAAGCAACCGAACTCTTGTTCCATCATCTTGTTCGGCGCCTCGGCTGCTTGAAATATTCAGGGCAACCCAAAATGGAATGTTGAAGAAAACATTAAGTAGTGTGTTACCATATTCGTGCGCGAATATGCTAACACGGGTTTGTTAACAAGTTAACATGATTTGTCTTCTAAATGGCGAGTCGGGCGTCGGACGCAGCTAATTGCTGGCTCACCACAATGAACAATTGATGGTTACATGGGGTTCTGGTGAATGGCGTGCTTTGGGAGTTTACTAGGCAAGGGAATTGCATAAAGAAAAAGCTCATATAGATAGATGGATGGATGGATAGATAGATAGATAGATGGATGGATAGGTAGATAGATTGATAGATATGAATCAATGTTGCGAATCAGTTAATATGTTGCCGACCAAGTGTGAGAAGAAATGCTAGGTAATATGGTTCGTAAAAAACAACAACAGCACAACGAAGTAAAATAACAGCGTAACAATGTGTATACGGCAAAGAACCTCCAGGTTAACCCTTGCAAAAGCAACACTCCTGCATGTCAACGTGCAAAAGCACAGCTGTCCTGCAGCTTGAGGCCCAGCATTGTGTCAGGAGCTAAAGCATCACAGACAAAAGGCATCCCTCCCATAGAGAGCACGCAAATACTCATAGCAGAACAATGCACAGCATGAAGCCTCCAGGTTAACCCTTTGGTTCACCTGGAACTTCATGTGGTAGTGGAGCAGCACTGCTGAGTGCAAGCGTGCACAAGCAGAGTTGTCCTGCAGCTTGAGGCCCAGCAGTGTGTCAGGAGCCACAGCATCACAGACAAAAAGGCATCCCTCCCATAGAGAGCAAGCAAATACTCATAGCAGAACAATGCACAGCATGAAGCCTCCAGGTTAACCCTTGGGTTCACCTGGAACTTCATGTGGTAGTGGAGCAGCACTGCTGAGTGCAAGCGTGCACAAGCAGAGTTGTCCTGCAGCTTGAGGCCCAGCAGTGTGTCAGGAGCCACAGCATCACAGACAAAAAGGCATCCCTCCCATAGAGAGCAAGCAAATACTCATAGCAGAACAATGCACAGCATGAAGCCTCCAGGTTAACCCTTTGGTTCACCTGGAACTTCATGTGGTAGTGGAGCAGCACTGCTGAGTGCAAGCGTGCACAAGCAGAGTTGTCCTGCAGCTTGAGGCCCAGCAGTGTGTCAGGAGCCACAGCATCACAGACAAAAGGGCATCCCTCCCATAGAGAGCAAGCAAATACTCATAGCAGAACAATGCACAGCATGAAGCCTCCAGGTTAACCCTTGGGTTCACCTGGAACTTCATGTGGTAGTGGAGCAGCACTGCTGAGTGCAAGCGTGCACAAGCAGAGTTGTCCTGCAGCTTGAGGCCCAGCAGTGTGTCAGGAGCCACAGCATCACAGACAAAAAGGCATCCCTCCCATAGAGAGCAAGCAAATACTCATAGCAGAACAATGCACAGCATGAAGCCTCCAGGTCAACCCTTGGGTTCACCTGGAACTTTATGTGGTAGTGGAGCAGCACTGCTGAGTGCAAGCGTGCACAAGCAGAGTTGTCCTGCAGCTTGAGGCCCAGCAGTGTGTCAGGAGCCACAGCATCACAGACAAAAGGGCATCCCTCCCATAGAGAGCAAGCAAATACTCATAGCAGAACAATGCACAGCATGAAGCCTCCAGGTTAACCCTTGGGTTCACCTGGAACTTCATGTGGTAGTGGAGCAGCACTGCTGAGCATCCAAAGACAAGGACACTTGCCATGAAGAGCGCATGTTGAAATTGCATAGTAGCAGCGCCGAGTCTGAGTCAGCAATTTGTTTTCTTTGAATGACCAATCCTGTGGTTTCTGATATGCAGGGCGTGGACTCGAATTACTAAGCAATGCTTCATCAATTCTCTATGCATCTCATCGTTTACGGTGGAAACGCAATATTGTTGCGAATGGCGTCGCCAGCAACGGCTTTGCAGGTGGCAGGTGGCGGTGACCAAGCGCCCTATGATATGGTAGATAAGCTGCTGCAGGCAAGATCGCGGGGCTGCAGTCCATTGCCTTTGCAAAACTCATGGTGCGTAGTAAGTACAGACAGTTCGGTAGATAAGAGGTGGGAAAAGGACAAAGCTACCAATGTCGCCGCAAGACTGCAATGCTGTCGCTCGCATCGCCGCAGCAACTTCGCCTCTAGCGTTTTGTCGCAACTTCGCTTACTTCGCCTCCAACACTTGGGTTGCCATGATGCCTTTTGATCCTCTCGGATTGGCAGCTGAGGGTGTGCGCAACTTGGGGTGCTACCATGGCGCGGCATTGTTGCTGCATATGTGTCGTAAGCCATCCCGATGTGCCTCGGCCGCAAACATCGGTGCTGCTAAGTAAAGATACATTCTGTCTATGTCATGGACTGGGATGTGCCGTTCCTTTTTCGTTCAGCTCCCACCGCTTGCATGCCCAGGTGCTGACGAAAGCATGAAGTTTAACCAACGAGGCCACATTGAAGGCCTGTTGTTTGCACATGGCATCTCTTGATGGCAGCTACTGAGGCATGATTCATGATGTTGAAAACATGAACTGTATAGCCATTGTTCCGGGTTCGCCAAAATAGGGTGCAAGGTGACAATTGCTTTTAAGTTTGAAAGCTGTGTGAAGGACGGTGGGGGCCTCTGGTATGGCGAGGAGATGTGGATTGCGTGGAGACGGGCTGGTGTCATTAACTTAAGAAACGTGAGCGGGTAGCAAAGTCTCAAAGCGGCAAATGACTAGACGTTGCTTCATGTGCGGTATAGGCGATGGTCCTTGCCTGAGTGCCCCAAGCAGCCGCACTCAGGCCAATATTTCATGGTTGCAGTGGTTGATCGATTGCGCCGGCAGCAAGACGAGCATGCGTCTTGGTGACCCTTGGTTTAGAACCTCATGGATTAACATGGGCTGCCCGAAGCTGACGGTGCTTGTGTGTGTTTGTTCTGTGTGTGTGCTGCACTGCTAGACCCATCCAGGCAGATACTTTATGGAATCCATTCGGAAGCGTCTGGAGCACGAGTGCGATCATGAATGCCGTGAGCAAGGACGCTGTCCCTTGGACGCATATGATATGCCTTCCGCCTGCCAAACTTCTGTCTGCCTTGCCTGGGGCTTGCCTGCCCGTGGCGCTTCTTCAGGGAAGCGTTTCTGCATTGGGAAGCGCTGGGAGTGCGAGATTGCTTGCGAGAAGAGTGCGACGACTGGCTTGTGGCAGAATACTCGTTGGTGTCAGTGGCCCTAGCTTTGTGCCATACAGATTTTGTTCCTGTATAACACTTGTAAACAAAGTTTCTTCCTATGAGTGGCCCTTACCTTCGAATTCTGTGTTGTTTGTTGCAGGTGATGGCCTCGTCCAGAAAATTACCTCCCGGCTCTGTTCGACGGCCCGGCTGCCAACGTCCTGTTCTCACTCTTGGCGTCGCCTGGCGCGACCTGTCTTCTACAGGAGGTTTCATGGATGGCGCTTTGCCTGCACGTAGAGAGGAAAAACGTAGAAATTCCAGCGGTTCATGCTGGTCCATTGGCAAGCAAACTGTCCTCCACCCAGGGGCCCTGGCAAGAAGGCGGATGACAGCAGCCTCCCTAAGTCCCTTGGTCCAACTAATTTACACGGTGCTTGCAAAACTTGAGTAGAACACAAGAGCTTCTGTCTACTAAAAAACACCAAAGAAGCAAGTAGTATTCAATCCGCCAGTGTGTCAGGACAGGCTGCGATGAGTCGGATAAGAAGCTTGGCAGCAAGTATAACTTCAATATGATGGATGCATGACTTGTCCTTGTGGCTCACCTTTGTTTGCTACACATTGTCTGCGACGCAGGTGCTTTGCCATGGATGCCCTCCTGCCACTTAGCTTCAAACAGTGCCATCCAGGCTTGGAACAACAGTTTAGCTGCTTCTGCTTGCCAGTCTTCATGAGGTCACAGCAAGGAGCCGCATACAGCAGATTGCGGGAGTATCTTTTTTGCAGTGATGTATGGAACAAAGAAACATTGCCACATGCAAGTGCAAAATACGACGTGGTCGATAAAATTCCGCATTCGAGGCCGGGCATTACCAAGCGTCAGCGGCGACGTCGCTACGAAGACGTGTATTGGACCAATGTCCATGTCAATGCCATCAAATCCCGGACTCGGAGATTGAAGCGCATGGACAAGGCCGCAGACGCAATCTTCGATGAGTACGCAGAACTTGTTGCTCAAGAACGTCTCCATTGCCTCTTAGATGCAAAGAAGGTCCTTCATGTCAGTGCTCCGGTTAGCGTCTATGTGACGATGTCATGGCTCCCTTCAGGTCCGCGTGAGAAGGCGCAGCCAGCGCGTGGCAAGTTGTCTGACTTCAAGCTACCGATGCTATGTAGCTGCAGTGATGGCATGTTGTTTTCAGGTTCATTGTTCAAGTTCTTTGTTCGCACCATTCTACAAACACAGGTAAACGCAGGCGGTGTTGGCATATTGGACAGGACTTTGTGGAAGCTGATAAACACAAACAATTATCAACCCGGTAACAGCAACCACCCACAAAAAGGACATCATTGGATTAAGGGTAGTTGGAAGATCGTAGATGAGTGCAATCCCAGGAAAAAAGCTTCGGTCGAAATGCCCTTCAAGGACACCTGCCTGGTGGACGCCTTCCGCTCCATTGGTATCAAGGTACCTTATACGGGCCCCGGTCCATTCTGGGCCGTGTCTGACGGAGCCAAAATGTTGGAGCCTTTGGGGCAGCTTGGCGGCCATTGGAGCATGTTGTCGGGATTATTCAGTCGAGCAATGCAGGTTTGCTTAATTGTCGTCCCTGCATCAGGTATATTATTACTATGCTCAGGGTAGCCCCGTCGGTGCTTCCAACTGGGAAGTACGTGCTGTATCGCCGCAATCATTTCCAAGGCTTCCGGGCCTTTTCTGATGGCACTTGTCGGTTGCAAACGTCGTGCAGATGCCACATCGGCATTGATTGTGACGCCAATAAGTTCGATACGAGCTCATTCGAGGCCATCTTCCAGGTCATCCCCCTGCGGGCTGACAGAGCGGTTGATGCCTGCTCGCCCATCGATTTCCAGGGCGGAGCCCTAACGCAACCTACTTCGGATGCATCTAGCACTAGCACGTTGTTTGAGCAGCCAAATTTCCTGGACAGTGAGTTTTCCAGTCCCAGATCCTTGGTTGGCTCCAAGCCTGTCTCAGTGCCAATCTTCATGCTTTTCCCAGATTTCCTGGAAAGTCGCATTGCTGCCTTTGAAGGGCTGTGTGCTGACTACATAGCGCTGTTGACAGCCAAGCCGGAATTGTGGACCCGCATCCCATGTCCATTCCTCCACACGTCTCAGTCAGAATGGAACAGCTGCCTGTCATCCACCCGCAGCTTGTTCTGTAGCAATTTGATATCCGAAGTGGGCTCAGTGGAGGAAAGCCGCGTGAGCAAGAGATTGCGCTTGTATATTACGCTGCTGCGCCAGAATCGGCACCAAATTGCCAGCGGCGGTGTCAGCTTGAAGGCCATCCCCAACCCATGCGACCACAATGTCAGCAAAAGGCAGTGGGAAAGGGCTTGCAAACACTGGCGGCAAGATGCGCGGGGCGGATCTGAGGTGGAAATTTTGGGGCGGGAGCAGAATCCAAATTGTATCTTGCAGGACAGTGCCCTAATTCACGCCATTTTTCATCGCAACGCGATTCCAGCTGGATGCTTGCAGGCCGCATCTCACATTGCCGCTAGCCAGACAGACCCAGTAGGCGCATTGGAGATGCTCCGGTCAGCCCCTGATCGAAAGCTGCCAGACCATGAAGGCCTACGGCCCATCCATCATACCATGTGCACAGATTCCAGCCAACAGTTCGGCACGCTCCAGGTTTTGATCTGGTTCGGTGCAGATGTTTTGAGCCAGCATTTCCCCGGTGATTCTGGATTTTCCTTGGCCCCGCCTGGGCTATGCATAGCTGTCTGCATGGATGAGTGCTGGTATAGGCTGCCCATGTTTGAGGTGTTGGCGCGGCACACGGAGGAACTAGTGGATTTGTGTGGGCGTTCTGCTTTGTGGAACACTTGCAAGATCATGAGACAGCAAAGCTTCATGTTCCCATTGGCCGACGATGTTGAAGGCGGTAGTGAAATTGTCTCGTTCCAGATGGCTTGCACAGGAGTGACGGTTTGTGCCTTGTTCGTATCAGATGACGACACCATCCTGACCTTAAAGCAGCAGGTTGCCTTGCATCTAGGGCACCTTCCCTTCGCTGTTGTTTTTCTGGTGGACAATGAAGTTGTTCCATTTGCGCAGACATGGGCCAGAGCTGGATCCCCGCCACTTATGCACGTGATTCTTAAACCCAGGACCAACTGTCACAGACTTGCCTTATCAAAAGCCATCCAAGCGCAAAACCACAATACAGTGATCGACCTCCTCAGTAATGGCCAAGAGCCAGATTGCATGGGCTTGATCGACCGCACTCGCCGCTTAGAGCCAGTATTGGTGACTGCAGCTTCAGCCGGCTTCTTCTATTCTGCATTTTTGCTCCTCAATGCATGGGCAGACCCTAATATTGCTGGCAATGACCGCCGGACTTCCTTGCATTTTGCCGTTCTCACACATTCGCCAATGACTGTGCAGGTTTTGCTGGCTGGAAGGGCTGATGTGCATGTGAGGGATTTGCATGGCGAAACCGCTTTACATTTTGCTGCCATCAGCGAGAACGTGGCTTTCGTGAAACAGCTGATCATGGCAGGGGCTGACCCTTTGACTCCCAATGAGGAAGGAGATGTCCCGCTACTTTGGGGCCGTGAAGTGGACACTAAGGGTGCCCTTTTGGAAGGCTGTTGGCATGACATGTCGTATACCATGCTCTTTCTCTTAAACTTGCGAACCTTGTCAGCCTATACAACTTGCAGGCCATTGGAAAAGCTTTGCAAGTGCATGCGCAAGCTGCTCTGTGAATATGTCTTGCACGATGAAGCTGACTTCCAAGGAGGGGCCGAGTCAAACGCACCAACGGAGCGCCTTTTGCACTTGTACTTGTTTCGCAATCCGCTCCCTGCAGATCGGCCCCGGGTGTGGCATCAATTGCAATTGTTTCAGTTATATGTGGAGCCTCTCCAGCCCACATTGCAGAAATTCCCGAGATTGTTTTGGATTTTGCCGGTGCCATTTGATGTCTCGCAAAGCAAGGAACAGTGGAAGGTGAAGCTGTTTGCTGCCTCCACGTTTTTGAATTTGCTGCAGAAGGGCGAAGTCGTGAAGCTGGAGGGTGCCCTCATCACCTGGTTTTGGCCAGAAATTTTGCAGGACATGTCCTTATTGGACATTCTTAGCACAAGGAACACATCATCCAGCGCACGTTCTAGAGCGAGGCAGCTATCTACTGCTGTCCTCTTCTTCTCAGTGCTGGCCACACCTTTGCCGCAGACCACCCCAAAGAAATTGAGTTCAATGGGGACAAACATCTGTCATCGTTGGGTTCTTCTGCAAAGATTTTTGCTCAGCAACAACCACCGCAAACCCAAGAGAGAGCAGCCTAGAGGAAATCCCGTTTTGTTGCTGTCAGCAGCCCTGCGGCAGGAACTTGCACGACCCGCAAATTTTGAGGATAGGCAAGGTGGCGCAGAAGATGTGAGCCAAGGTGGCACAGAAGATGTGACCCGCCGAATCTTGGAGAACAGGGGCGTGGCCCGTTCCCGCAAAATGCTGAAGTTGGTGCAATGGTCGCATGGACTTGGAATGGAGTTGCCGTTGCGGGGAGACAGCGTGGATGCTATGGTTCCCTATCGTCACGAACATTTTGCTCCCTGCGTAGACATCACAACTCTGGCATGGCTTCACCCCCATGACAGAGACCGTCACGTTCGGTTCGAGTCTGAAGGCCACGTGTATTACATCCGTGGCAAGCAGACCAATGGATCTGTGACTGGGTTGATCCATGCCTTGGCACGACCATTCGATGCCGACGAAGTAATTTCCAATATGATGGCAGGTGACAGATGGCCTCGCGCAGGCTATTTGCGACCATTCTTAGGAGAGACTGTATTGAAGCGCGTCCGCCAAGTTGATGCAGACCTTGTGCTTGCTCTCCTGGACTCCCCCCGCAATGATACATGGATCTCCAACCGGCTCCAGAGCCTGCGGACGAACTTTCCAGAGATTGTCCAGAGTCTGGTATTTGGCCCGCATGAAATCAAGCGCATGTGGGAAGCCAACCGAATTGATGCTGCTCTTCGAGGCACCCACATGCATTTTTGGTTTGAAGCGCATGTGAATGGATATGTGGTGCCAAAAACAAGTCCAGAATTCTCGATGCTTGAAACCTTCTTACAAGACATGCAAGGGTGGCGCGCCTTCCGCACGGAATGGGTTATTTTTGGTGAGGAAGAGAACATTGCTGGGTCAATCGATCTCACTGCACAAAACCCAAATGGGCAGTTGGCACTGATTGACTGGAAGCGGACCTCCAGCCTAGCATCGAAATTCTCTTCGCCGTGGACGATGCTACCGCCTTTAGATCATGTTCCGGACTGTGCTGGGTGGCATTACCGGCTCCAACTGAACATTTACAGGTATATTGTGGAGAAATACTACGGCTTTGAGGTGGCTATGATGCTAGTGGTTTGCACCCACCCCGACCAACAATTGCGGCCTTTCATCGACCATGTGCCGCGTCTCGACAAGGAGATTGAAGTCGTGATGAGTTTGCGGCGGGACAAAGCACATGCTGTTGATGTGTCTGGAGGATCAGATTTTGAGGAACAACTTGAGAAAGAAATGGATTGGCTGAATGAGCAGGCGAAAGCCGAGGAGGCGGCTAGTAGGAGAGATGGGAGGGGTGGGCCAGAGGGACCGGAAGAAGCACAGCAACCTGAAGGACTTGCAAGTCAAGCTCTTGAGGATGATGGAGCAAACCCACTGCCAGAAGTAGATGATGCAAATCTGAGACAATGCAAGAAGCGCCGCTTGCTTCCTGGAGCTGCTCAGTCCATGCCGAAGTTTCAGAAAGAATTTGACAGCTTGCGGGCTGCTGCAAATACATCTCTGCAGCAGGCGTCAATCAAAAAGCCTGAGCAGAGCCATTCCCTTTTGCAACAGAGCAGCTACATGATCAAGCAGGTGCGTGCTCGCAAGCCACAATGGCCTGAGCAGCTTGTGCGCTTGGTGGCGTGCGCTTGCGTTTTGCCCCACATGCGGCTCTGCGATGCCTACCTCCGGGAACATATTTACTTGATCTGGCTGATGGAAGGTGGCCGCTACCTTCGTGTCCACAACGGACAATGCTTTCTGTACCATGATTGCGGGGCTTTCCAAGTCTTTCGCGGAAGCCCGCCGGAACAAACAGTTGCCCGGATCAAAGAGTTCATACTTCAAGTCGAAGGGTTTTTTCGAAGCATCCAAGGAGCAGTAGATCGAACACAGGAGAGTATAGTGCAAATGGTAGAAGGCATGGAGGCAGATGCGAATGGAGATATAAAGGTGCTACTTGACAAGTGGATATCTGCCGCGCTCTTCATGAAGCAGCTTCCGCGCGGCCGCAGAGCGCCTCAATTTGATGAAGTTGATGATGCGGAACCAGAAGCGGCGGCAACTGGTGATGCAGGAGGGTGGACCCAATCCATTGCTATCGCCCTAAGCAAGTTGAGCGTAACCCTGCAAAAGGAAGTCATGGATGATAAGATATATGGTCTCATGATTGAATGGTGTGAAACGCCTTGCCAGAAGCAAGCTGGCTGTGCGTACAAAGATATATGCGTTGTGTATGATTCAAATGAAGAGAATGTGGAATTTGTGCAGCCAAGCCACGACAACAACCTCTACACATTGATCCCGCATGCCTTAAAGCCTTCTTTGCCGGATCCCGTCCTCCAAGCTGCGAGCTGCCGTTTGGAGAAGTTTTTCCGCGAGACCTTTTGGCGGAACTTCGATGTCTTTTTGTGCTGTCAGGCAGCCCAAGCCATCGCGAAAAGGGGTGAGAATATTGACCGATGCTTCATTGGTGAGAGCCCCGGTGGAGTAGGCCAATCTTTATACAGTTCTCACTTGAATGCGGTTTATGGACACAATCACGCATTCATTGACCCTAATATTTGGTACGATGAGCAAGAGCTCCGGAAGCAGATTGAGCAATTTGCAGGCTGCTTTATCTTAACAGCGCAGGAGGCGCCTGAAACTTCACGCCGAATGCGGGAAGACTTGTACAAAAAGACAATGAGTGCAGATGGCATGGCTGGGAGGCGGCCGTACGGGTATGTCACCCGCATGATTGAACTTACCGGATGGAAGAGGATGGAGGTCAATCGTCTGATGCAGTTCAAGGGTGTATCTGAGCATAACTTCCCATCAATCCTGCGGCGCAGTTTCCTTTGGCGTCCGCACGCTCGATTTGTATGTCCGCAATACTTGGAAGAGCATTACACAGATGCGGCGCTGGATGGGTACTTTCCAAAAGATCCAACTTTGAAGGAGTTCCTTGTCTCAGGACCAGCAATCGCCAGCAGCATGCAGCTGCAGCACGCGTTTGAACATACATACTCACGAGCTGAATGCATACATATGATAGAATCATATTGCAATTTGGGTGGTGATCAGGGATTGACAGAGGACAAAATGCGAATCGCTTGTGGGCTCCCACCGCGTCAGCGTGCCGAGATCGCTGCTCCTGGGCTAGGCCCTGTGGATGATCAACTAAGCCAGGATCAAGCAGAAAGTGTAAAAACAGGTTCTGAAGCAGTGGCCCGCCGCATTGTGGAGGAATGTCTTTCAAAGGGGTTCTTCATGTTCACATTGCAACAGTTCAAGACCATGTCTCTGCCTTCGAATGCACCCAATTTAGACAAAGAGAGCATGTTGACACAGCTACAAGAGCATTTATTGGTAAAGCAAATAGCAAGAAAGCGCGGCAAAGGAAAGCAGATCATTGTTCCATGCGTCCTGGGGCAAGGCAGTTTGCAGGATGTCTTTGATCTGAAAAGCTCAAACGACACGGCACTAGTATTCCCCGAAATGTGGCACACAAGTTGCTTGCGGGACTTTGCTTCCAAACATCTTGCCAGAGAACACAATGTCGTCACTATGATAGCATTCTTGGATGCCAGCATTGCTGCATTGAAGAGGAAAGGCTCCGGAAAGTTAACGTCTGAGGTCAAGCTCAGACACGATGCGTTGGTCGAAAGGAGGCGTAAGTTGGAAGCCAACGAGCAGTTGATTGGGAAGCTCCTCGCTGCTGCTGGTGGTGAGGCTGGTGACCTGGAAGGGCAGGCTAGCAGTCACAGATGCACAGGGAAGCAGCAATTGCGACATAGCAAGACAAAGTACAGACAAGGCTCAGATTTGATCCGTGGACGAAGGTATGCTTGTCAGCCAGGAGCACAGCAATGCTCTCGGAAACTTCTCAGGTTCTTGTGCCCTCAATCTATTGACTTAGCTTCTTGGATTGGAAAGGAAGCTTTCGCATTGTTTTTCTCCTGGGTTTCTCTTGCTTATGATTCTTACCCCTGAAAGTTAAACCTTTGTTAGCTTTGTAAAAGTGGAAGCCAAGGACATTGAAAATGCCTTTTTCACGTTGATGTCACAGCTCATCCATAAATTGGATCCTGTGTTCAAGATGCCGGATGATGCCGCAAAAGCATTGAAAAGATGCGCTGAGGCACGCAGTGATGTGATCAAGGAGCTAGGTTTGCCAGCTGCGGAAGGGAAGAAAGTTTTGCTTGAAGTCATAAACGGTGGCGGTCCGCCTAGCCGTCTGTCGGAACATGATGTAATTGTTGGGCTTCGGAAAGCTGCCATCTGGATTAAATGGCTTGCAATTTCAAATTTTCCCGATCTCTACAGCCACTGTGATGCAGACAGAAGCAAGCCATCGCCAGACAACTCCATGATAGCATACTTGTACCAAGCTGTTGAAGATCTAGTTTTGTCTAGCTGGGTGCAATTCCTCATGACGCAAGATCTCGTGCATTTATCCCTTCACTTCGACGGTTGCCGAATTCAGGGTCGAGCGCTTGACACGGCTTCAATGTGTCAAGAGTCTTCGGAGTGGATTGCCAAAGAGACTGGGTTTCAGGTGGTTGTGAAGCAGAAGAAGCACCTGCTTCTCGCGGAGCTGTTGGGAAGGGATGGACGTGTTTGCGATACTCTGTCACTTTCTTCCAGCTTCGACTACTCTGCAAATGGCATTCTTACATGCCTGGCCTACATTGCAGACCTCTGGTCACCATTGGACGCATGGCTACAGGAACATAAGGCAAACATTGAAGGAGGTCAAACACATCGTTCATATAAAGAATGTTTCAAAGCTGCAGATGTTGCCTTCTCAGTAGACATTGGTTTCTGTGCTGAGAAGACGGGGAAGTACCTACTCCATTGTGAGCACAATGGATCTCCGCTCGTCCTTGGATGTGTAATGGCCGAAGAAACTTGCAAAGTGTTAGTCCGGGACACAGTATATGCGCTATCAGCAGATGCTTTCAAGGCATGTGCTGAGGAGTCAATTGATTATGCCTCCCTAGTGACATTTCGCATGCTGAAAGCAGGCGAAAAACCCCGGCAAGAATCTGAAGTTCTTCTGGAACTGCAGGCCGGCTTCGATCTATCTGGCGGTGCTGAGTTGGAGATGTTGTGTGAGTGCGAAGGATTGCTGGAGAATTCTGATGATGAAGGCATGGCCGGATCACATGTTGATGAATCAATAGTGCAGGTGGGCGAAGAGTTGCTGGCGTTGCTCGCAGAAGAAAGAGGTGAAGTCCTAGATAGCACTGAGACTGTGCATGAAGGCAGTATGCACCGTTGTCCGTTCTGTCCGTTCCGGCAATTCCCTCGACCTTCTCGTGTGATGGAGCATGTGCAAAAGTATCATACAACGAAACGACAATTCTGTTGCAGTGGCACCAAGCAAGTCAGAGTCATTCAGGCTTTGTTTGACGATGACCAGCTCCGCAATATACAGCCAAGTGCTCGCTACCTCCGCAGGAGCGCCGCCGTGTTGCGAACATCAATTGGGAATGAGGATGGAAGCATCAATCATCTTGATCGTCGATTACGCTTGGTCTTGACGGAGAAGGGCCCCGTGTACAAAAGCTTGCAACACGTTGCTGAGAACGAAACAGTGTACCGTCGAGCCAAGAACTTGTATTACACGCATGGATTTGCAGATATGCTTTTCCAAGAGATGATGGTTAGCAATGCAAAAATGAAGCAAGCATCTCGACTGAAGCTTGTAGACATGTATCCCTTGGATGCACTCTTTGTTGCTCCTTTAAATTGTGACATTGACTGTTTTTGTTACAAGCGATAACCCCTGTTGATTCTAAGGCGGCTAGCCGGTTGGCTTTGAGACTCGCAGCAAGTGGCAGCAAGCTCACGGGCCTCTTGCCTCAGCATGTTCGACACTGGTGGCCGCTCGTGGAGGACATCTTCTACTCCGACGCCGTGAACCAGCTGTTCGCCCAATCTATGGCAGAGGCGGTTCACCATACGGAATTTGAATCCGTCAGTGTGGATGCAACCCTGAAGTGTTGCCTCTCCATTCTCGGCCAGAGTTCCTACAGAGCAGGGCCGCAGGAACGAGCCAGCGCTGCTTTCACGGGGAAAGATTGCTTTCGCAAGGTGCCCGGGCTGTTTGTTAGCCTCCTTTTAGACAAAAGCCAAAGGTGTCAAGTTTAAACTAAATTTGTTTGCTTCATTCTCAGAAACCATCTGCCTGGCAGGTTCTGACAGTCCGTGGGCGAACCGGCTGTGTACTGCTCATGGCTCCAACGCCAAATGAGGAGGCACCCGCCATTGCCGAGCGCATTGCTGAGTCGTTGCCTGAAGATGGACTCCGGCAAACACGGATTGTGTGCACGGATGATCCTTCTGCGCATTTGTTGTCGACATTGCGCAATGTCATGCCAAAGCTGGAGCTGCTATGCTTGGACCCTGTCCACCTATGCATGACTTTTGAGTATGGGACGTACAGAAGAAGAACAAAGGCGTCAACCATGTTGAGAACAATTATGCAAAAGTTTAATGCCGTGGACTTTAAGAACATGTCAGCCTACAACTCCAGGCCTTTCAACGGCATTCAGGATGTTTCGTTCGATCACATCACCAAGACACGTCGAGAACAGATTCTGAGTGGAGGAATGGGAAAGGCCAAAGCAGAATCTCTCCTTGACAGCCTGGATGCTGCGAAGCCTTGGCAATGCGAACGGGATTGCATTGAGGCCATGGCAGCATTTGTCCGATGTTTTCCGGACGATGTAGACAAAATCATTCCCGGTCCGAACCGGTCTGGACGGCAAGTGCTGTACACTGCCTGCGCGCCTGCGAGGATGCAATGGTATTTCAACAACATCCGGGCGCGCCATAGTATGCGGCCAGATCGAGTTGTATTACTTCCTGCTGGTACCACTTCCAACGAGGCACTGCATGCTGAAGTACGAGCTTGGTTCCGAGAGACGCAGCAGATGCATAAGAGCACATTGGAAATCAAACTGCGGGTGCTTCACCTGTCCAAACTGATGACCCACCATGCGGGCATGTACAGACCAACTTTGCGGCAAATTCCGTCGGGCCTGGTGCTGGCTAGATCTGTTGTCTCTTCTGCCTGGAATCGACGAAAGCCCTGGAGCAAATTTGCCGGACAGAGTGGCAAGGCTCATTTGCCTCTCAATGAGAGACGGCAGCAAGAAGCATCATTAGTCAAGGCGCATGCTTCCAAAAAACCGGCTGCCAATATCAAAAGACCAGCGGCCATGAGGCATTGCGCAAAAAAGCCAGCCACGCACGTCCTCCCGCAGAAAGTGCGCAGGACTCCCTTTAACAGAGTAAGAGTGTCCACTTGCCGTATCATGGGCAAAAAAAGGCAAGGAGGTTTGAAAGCCTAGGCCTTTGAGTTATTGGATGCTTGCACTTGACCGATCTCTGCGCAGAAAAAGGTTCAAGTCGGCGCGCGCCCTGCCAGATGACGCTGTGGGACTTGTCAAAGACAACATGTTCCGATTGTATTAAAAGCATTTTCAGAACATCAAGCTACTCCGTCAGGCTTGTTCTTGCGGCCTTCGATCTCTCAAACTCTTCTCAAGGCAAGAAATTTGGAAGGGCACGGGGGTCAGAAGGTTTCTTTGAGTAGCACAGGTAAACCTGAAACATGAACCCTTCTCTTAGTATTTTTCCTAGCTGGAAGACCATGGTCAACTTCGGAAAGCAGGACATGAGGCGGTATGATGATGTTGGCCTGGTTCTTCTTATGTCTCCGCACTGGTTGTGATGTGAGAAGAGTGTGTCAAGTCTCGGGCTTGAGGGCTGTCAACAAGAAGGGCTGTCAAGATTCAGGGATGTCAAGGGCAAACCGGATCAAGAGAAAGTGCGGCATTATCAGACAAGACTGTCGAGAAAAAAATATCAAGGAGAAAGAGTTCCAAGAGATCACGCAGGCAACGGCCGTGACAACCAGGCGGCCAGGAGTCGCTCTTATAGGTTATCCCTTTTCTTTATAGACTTCTTACTTTTGTCTTTCGAAACTTCCGTCACCCGGCTTGCCCGGGCCTTACTAAGTTTTCACGGGGAATAGTCTGAAACAATATTTTCCAGCGGGTTCATGTCATGGCATAGCCTCCTCAGGGAGACGAGTCGGCATGGGAGCACCACTGGCGCCCCTGGTCAAGGGGGTGGGGCAAGTGGCGCCTCGATTGCAATTCTTGTGGATGTCGTTGCCACTTTGTTTTGAGCGTTCTCCACTGGTAGAAAGGCGTGTTCATGTCTTGTCCGCCGGTGGGCGACATTGAGCAAAAAAAAATCAACTATTTTGGATATATGATATATTGTAAAGATGACTATATCGAACATTGCGCGTTGCAAACGCTATTTTCCCATATTTGGTTAGCCCTCTTGCAAGAATATTGTTTGAAACTTGAGGGACCGATGGGGACCATACGGGAAGAAAGATGCTTGTCCGCCAGAGTGCACGTGCAGCAGTGATTTCGTGATTTCTTTGTCACATTCACGATGTTTCTTGTGTTGCAGCACATGGCTTCTATTGGATCCCCGATGCTTACCCCTGGCTGAGAACCCGGGGGTCCAGCCCAAAAAAATAGCCAGGGGGTACCTTGAGTATCTTGTACCAAATTTTTATCCCAGTAGCTGTTTCTTATATTTTGGGGTTGTATCGGAATTTTATTCGCCGGATACCTTTACTCTCAAATATAAAAATTCTACATGCTCTTGACTGTCAGTCCCACGGAATTTTATCCAGGAGGGATTTTGGTACATGAAACAGTTCAAGCAGGGTCTGATATCAAGAAATCAACCCCAGATAAAACCCACGGGTCTGAGATTCTATGGTCCAAAAGGTTCCTCATTTCTAAGGTCAGATAAGGTTTGAGATGTAAAGATCCTAAAAAATATCAATATTTTGTAAAACAAACATGACAGCCTATGGGATATCAAAAATGATAGATCATATAGATATGATATTAAGAAATCGACCCCAGATAGAATCCATGAGCCTGAGATTGTATGGTCCAAAAGGTTCCCCATGTCCAAGGTCAGAAAAGATTTGGGATATAAAGATCCTAAAGATTAAACATTTTATATAACAAGATAACAGTCTATGGGATATCAATGATGATAGATTGGATGTCAAGAAATCAACACCAGATAAAATCATATAAAATCCACGAGTCTGAGATTATATGGTCCAAAAGGTTCCCCATTTCCAAGGTTAGATAAGGTTTGAGATGTAAAGATTGTAAAGAATGTAAAGATTTGTCCCCTATTTGTGTCAATTACATTCTATAGTTTTGCGGAAGTGATTTGAAGAAACAAATCTGGGTTCGTGAAAACAGATGCGCAGAGTTGAAATCCCAAGGTCTAAGCTTTTTCTTTTCGGATGTTTCAGCAAGTGCTTGCCTAGGCCCTTCCTGGAAACTTCAACAGGTATAAATGAATTTCTGAATCATTCTGAATCTGCGGCTTTTGGAAGATTTGGATGAGCTGGGAAACTTTTTTTTCGATGAGCATATCCAAGCATCATGAAGATCATTGTGGATCATAACCTGCAAAGATCTCACATTTTTCAAAAATTGACTCGGCCGAATAGACCTCAAACCCTTGGATTTTATCTGCCTGATATCTCTCTACAAACCAAGTGGGGTGGTATAATTTTTTGGTCTCGAGCCCGAATTTTCGCCTATGCAGGACCTCATGCCCAAATTTTATCCAGCCTTGTTTTGGGGTAGGTTCGGAGTTTTAGCTGGCTAAAATCGAGGCATGAGACTAAAAGGCACAAGCAACGGGGATCTATTGGTAAACCCGCTATAAATTCTAGTTGATATCTTCATTCCCCCAGGAACAATCAGAACATCGGTGTCAAGTGACTATCCCATGCGAGAGCAAAGAGATGATGGAGGAGCTGGTCAAGCAACTGGAATTTTGGGGTGGCTTGGAGAAACTTCTTGTCCAATCAAAATTGGACACAGTTCAGTGTTTTTAGGTCTGACTTCACAATGTCTGGTTCCAACACATAGAGGTTCTTCTTTGGGCAAGTAACGTGGAATCTTGAGGTGTTATTTGCATTACGGGCGTTGAGAAGTCTTGGTTGTAATTGGGTTACAAATTATGGTGGTATTCAGTGTCTGATGTGTTTTCGATGCATCTCAATTGCGGAGACCTGTTTTTAAAGCTTATTTTGACCAAAATTGAATGAGGATTACTATTTGATTCGGTTTCGATTCTGATTCTGCGGCCAGACTCTCAGGCACCATCGAAGGTCGCTTTTTGGATGAAGAGAACAAGGTGCTGAAAATTCGGTTTCAAAGGGCCGTGCAGGCCAAAGCGTGTGTGGCTGGGATGCCTAAGGTTAGCTGGGCATAGAACTTGAGGCTGAGAGCGGCTTGAGTCGGGCATGGAAAAAAGCTGGCCTGGAGTGGCTGGAGAGATTCCGAATATTTCATGAAGGGCCCCAATGGAAGGCAAATAGCTGTATCAGCAGAGGCAAGGGGTACGGTCATATTATACCAGAAGGTCCCTGCCACATATATATATATATATATGTAGATATTTTGGTGAAACGTTTAAAATGCTTAAGAAACATACACTGCTCACCCTCAACAACCCATCTAAGCCAGCCGTGGCCCTTCTGCTGAGCATTCGTACCTCGCCAGCGGGCGACCATGTCGATTTTGAAACCATGTGCTCTAAACGGAAAATATGTAAGAATGGGCATTCTTCATTCGAAAAAAAAAGCACGTTTAGACAATAACACATACACATGCCAATGTTGCAAGTAAGAAGACGGCCAGCCAAGAACGTTATCAGCCCCCCCCCAAAACCCCCCAAACCCCCCCAAGAAACAAGAATGCAAAATCAAGAGTGTCTTGCAAGTTACAAGAAGAAGTTGATAGCGTGTGGCAGGGTACAGTGCAAGAGAAGAGTGCATAGCGTAGCAGCAAGTCCAAGAGAAGATCTTCAAAGGCGGGCAGCCAAGAACGTTATCAGCTCCCCCCCAAAACCCCCCAAAACCCCCCCAAGAAACAAGAATGCAAAATCAAGAGTGTCTTGCAAGTTACAAGAAGAAGTTGATAGCGTGTGGCAGGGTACGGTGCAAGAGAAGAGTGCATAGCGTAGCAGAACGTCCAAGAGAAGATCTTGAAAGGCGGGCAGCCAAGAACGTTATTAGCCCCCCCCAAAACCCCCCAAAACCCCCCCAAGAAACAAGAATGCAAAATCAAGAGTGTCTTGCAAGTTACAAGAAGAAGTTGATAGCGTGTGGCAGGGTACGGTGCAAGAGAAGAGTGCATAGCGTAGCAGCAAGTCCAAGAGAAGATCTTGAAAGGCGGGCAGCCAAGAACGTTATCAGCCCGCCCCCAAAACCCCCCAAACCCCCCCCCAAGAAACAAGAATGCAAAATCAAGAGTGTCTTGCAAGTTACAAGAAGAAGTTGATAGCGTGTGGCAGGGTACGGTGCAAGAGAAGAGTGCATAGCGTAGCAGCAAGTCCAAGAGAAGATCTTGAAAGGCGGGCAGCCAAGAACGTATCAGCCCCACCCAAAACCCCCCAAAACCCCACGGCCGTCTATAAGCCGTGGTCCAACTACTTACTACTAACTACTTACTACTACTTACTACTAACTACTTACTACTAACTACTTACTACTAACTACTTACTACTAACTACTTACTACTAACTACTTACTACTAACTACTTACTACTAACTACTTACTACTAACTACTTACTACTAACTACTTACTACTAACTACTTACTACTAACTACTTACTACTAACTACTTTCTACTAACTACTTTCTACTAACTACTTTCTACTAACTACTTACTACTAACTACTTACTACTAACTACTTACTACTAACTACTTACTACTAACTACTTACTACTAACTACTTACTACTAACTACTTACTACTAACTACTTACTACTAACTACTTACTACTAACTACTTACTACTAACTACTTACTACTAACTACTTACTACTACTTACTACTACTTACTTACTACTAACTACTTACTACTAACTACTTACTACTACTTACTACTACTTACTACTACTTACTACTACTTACTACTACTTACTACTACTTACTACTACTTACTACTACTTACTACTACTTACTACTACTTACTACTACTTACTACTACTTACTACTACCTACTACTAACTACTTACTACTAACTACTTACTACTAACTACTTACTACTAACTACTTACTACTAACTACTTACTACTAACTACTTACTACTAACTACTTACTACTAGCTACTTACTACTTACTACTAACTACTAACTACTAACTACTAACTACTAACTACTTACTACTTACTACTTACTACTTACTACTTACTACTTACTACTACTTACTACTACTTACTA